GTGACCTGGTGGCGGGGACAGGGGGGGGGGGGGGCTTGAGAAGAGGTGCTGCCTCCCAGACGCTGAAGCAGAGAAGTCTGTCTGTCCGTCTCTCCCCTCATCCCCACCACCACCACCACCCACATCTTGAAACACAGCACAGCAAGCTGCCCAGGGCTTTCCAGACTTCTGTGTCTGCTGAGCAGGGTGCCGTGTAGTGCAGAAGAACCCTGCTGGATCCGACCAGTGGGCTGCAGGCCATTTAGGGCAGACAAAACCAGTCCCCCTGGAGAAAATGGATGCTTTGGAGGGCTCGGTGGCCTTCTGCCTGGCTGAGGACCCTCCCCTCCCCAAACCCCGCCCTCCCCAGGCTGCACCTCCGAAAATCTCCAGGTATTTCCTGACCCAGAGCCGGCAAGCCAACTGGAGGGCCAACAACAAGGCATAGAGGCCGAGGCCTTCCCCTGGCCTTGCCTTCTGGCACTGGGATGTGGCGGCTGACTGCCTCGTTTTTAAAGGTGCCAGGGAAAGAAGGAGGAAACAGGCATTTGGTTCTCCAGTTTCTGGGAGGTGTGGCACAGGAGACCTTGGCCGTGGTGAAGGCTGCCGGCCAGAACCCCAAACCACCCCCCACGTATGGGGATATTTAACATAGCAGAGTTCTGCTCAGTCACAGAAGTGTGATCCTGAGTGCAGTAAACAAATGTCCCAAGAAGTAAGCTGCAAAAAGGGTAAACGGACATTTATTAAAGTAGATAGATCCAGTTCACATTCAGGCTGCAGACAAAAGGAGAGAGAGAGAAGTAAGTTTGCCAAGTCCCCCCGGGGGGGCGGGGAAACCTCCGCCCCAGAGGCCCGTTCCCCACCGGCGGCAGATCGGGGCCCGAGGGGAGCCCCACCCCGATGTGCGCGTCACCCGGAAGTGACACGACCACGCCAGGCACGCTGGGGGCGGGGCCACGGTCATCCGAGGGAAAACTCTATGGTTTTCCCTCGGATGGTCGTGGCCCCGCCCCCAACGTGCCCGACGTCGTCACATCACTTCCGGGTGACGTGCGCGCGTGCGCTCAAGACGCCAGCCGGGAGTCCCCCGCTGCGGCGCAACACCCGACTTGGCAACCCTAGAGAGAAGCCTCATCTAAAGCGTACGTTCCCTGTCACAAACCATGGCCAGCTTGTCTGGCATCGTGTGTGTGTGGGGGGGGGGAGGATGAGGACATTTGGTCTCTACAGGAGAGGCATATTTCTCCATGGAAGGCCATGTGGACTGAGAGTGAGAGGACAAAAGGAGAGAGAGAGAGGAGAGGCCAGAGGACAACCCATTCAAGGAGGTAACACCTGTAAAACCCTTAGAGTGATGTAGAGCGCGCGCGCACACACACACACACGGTGTCTAGGCACGCTGAGTCCCTTACTCCAACCCCAAGATTACCGCCCAGGGTTGCAAGGTCCTGCCTAGCAGCCAGTGGGGGGCTCCCAGGTCCTTTCTGGAATCTTCTGCTGTGCATGCAAAGTGTGTGCAGCTCAGGACCTTACCTGGAAGTGATGTCATCGTGTCACTGACATTGGGGGCGACACTCTAGTTTTGGGGCAAAACTCTATGTTTTTTTGCCTTGACGAGCTCCCCGTGCTGCGTCTGGATCGCCAGGTTTTTAGAGGGGATCGGGGCCATCCAAATCTCCATTGGGCTCCCCGGAGAGGAGCCCAAGCAAGGTACTCGATCCAGGCTCCCCGCAAGCGGCAGCAAGCGGGTAGAAGTCTGATGGTCCTAACGCAAAGCCTGCGCAAGAGCATCCACTGCAGCAATGGGTGCGTAGCTGCGATTGCCAGACAAAATGTGTTTGTTTGTTTGTTTGTTTATTTATTTATTTATTTTATACCCCGCCCTCCCCGCTCGCGGGCTCAGGGCGGCTTACAATATGAGGTGCAATGCAGCACCATAATACACAATATGGCACATAGTGCGATAAAAACACAATAAAACATTTTAAAACAATTCAATACAACGGGCAAAGCCCGAGGATCCCGCATGACAAACACCTCTCTCCATATTGCACCTGCCCATGGGGCAAAGGGAGGATGATGTGGCCCCCAGATGTTCCTTGGCCACTCAGCCTCAGGCAGCGGTGCTGCTGTCCTGGCCCTCATTGGTGGTGTTTATTAAAATTTTACTTGCAGATCCCCCACTAGTAGTAGTGGTAGTAGTAATAATAATTCAGCATCTCAAAGCCAGCTGTAGTTTATGGCAATGTTTATTCTACACATTATCTTGTTCTTATTGCATTGTTTTCTTATTTCTGTAGTCTGATTTTTGAATTTTTATATACCATATATTATACTGTTTTACTGAATTGTTTTCTAAATTTGTAATCCAGTCTTATTACACTGTTTACTGTATGTCTTATACTGTTCCTATTACATTGTTTTAAATTTTGTAACCCACCCTAAGTTTTAGCAAGAAATTCAAACCACACATAAAGTAAAGAAATAAGACTGCAGGTTTCTGGTTTCAGCGGGGCGAGGACAGTTGCACCGGGATGAGCTCCCCATGCTGCAGCTGGATCGCCAGGCTTCTAGAGGGGATTGGGGCCACCCGAATTTCTATGGGGCTCCCCAGAGAGGAGCCCAAGCAAGGGACTCGATCTGGACTCTTTGTGAGTGCCAGCAAGCGGGTAGAAGTCCGATTGTCCCAACGTAAAGCCTGTGCGAGAGCATCCATTGCAGCAATGGGTGCGTAGCTGCGATTGCCGGACAAAAGGGGGGAAACAGCACACCCCATTCAATTCATCAAGATAATCAACACTGTGACTAAGCTTTAAATGCACTAAGTTCAGAAACTCTTCTATCAATTGAGCCCTTTAAATCCTACACTTTAAAAGTTAAGGGAAGGGAGGGTAAAGGGACCCCCCCTTCTACTGAAGCGGCTAGAAGAACAAGAAAAGAACTTTCTAAATAAGATTTGGGCGAAAGAAGAAACAGCTAACTTTGACTATTAACTGCTAAATACCATATTGTGGATTACAAATATATTTAAAATCTCCCCTTTATTGGATTACAATTTATGTTGCTGAAGTTTTCCTCTCACTGAGATTAAAAGAAGATTTTTTTTACTAAAGTTTCCCATTAATGGAATTATAAGTAACTATAAGACTATAAGACTTCCTTGAGGATTACAATTATGATCTGGATTACAAATTAAACAAGAAAGAAGAAAATAAGGTTAAAATTCTAACTAAATAAAATTGACTCTCACTTTTAATGCATTGTAACTTTGTTGTAACGTAGACAAATTTGGTAATGTAATGTATTGTCTCTGCTTTTACAGACTATTCTGTAAACAACTGATAAGATTTTTTACTGTGGGGAAATCTTGATTAGTATGATAATAATAGTACAGTAATAACATTAGTAACTGTTTTGTAAACCTTGCGAAATTGACTGTGCTTAGATCTTTGTATGGAAACACAATTCCAGTGAGATTCTTAAGAACATAAACATAAGAACATAAGAGATGACAATGTTGGATCAGGCCAAAGGCCCATCCAGTCCAACACTCTGTATCACACAGTGGCCAGAAATACCAGTGCCATCAGGAGCTCCACCAGTGGGGCCAGGACACTAGAAGCCCTCCCACTGTTGACCCCCCCCCCTAGCACCAAGAAGACAGAGCATCACTTGCCCCAGAGTGCCTATCTATAGCCACTGATGGACCTCTGCTCCATATGCCTATCTAATTCCCTTTTGAAGCCGTCCATGCTTGTAGCCGCCACCACTTCCTGTGGCAGTGAATTCCAAGTGTTAATCACTCTTTGGGTGAAGAAGTACTTCCTTTTATCCGTTCTAACCCGACCGCTCAGCAATTCCATGGAGTGCCCACAAGTTCTTGTATTGTGAGAAAGGGAGAAAAGTACCTCTTTCTCTACCTGCTCTTTCCCATGCATAATCTTATAAACCTCAATCATGTCACCCCTCAGTCGTCATTTCTCCAAGCTAAAGAGCAGTGTTTACAATATCTTAAGATGGTTGTTGCAGGAATTAAAGAAAAGGTTCCTGTGATGCAGCCTCTAGGTATTAACTTAGTAGATCTACAGGCCTTGCTTCAAGAGAGTGATCTCAGCCGTGGCGATGGCGTTGGAAGCAGTTATGAACCCTATACAGGAAAAAATAAACATATTTATCCAGAAAATGGATTAGGGTTAGGGTTAGGGTTAGGGTTGCAAATGGAAGAAGATCAGCGGCAAGGAAAGAAACCAGAAGAACCAGACTTTAAATGGGAAGCGGTAAAAAATAAACAAGACCTTAAAGAAGAAACTTTTATAAAAATGGAGCCTGACAAAACAGTCCACATATTAAAATTTCAAAATACTTTTGAAAAGAATGTCCAAGATTTAAGAACAACAAAGATCCACACAACAACAAAATACATGGATACAGAAAAATTAGAAGAAATCTACAATGAGATTCAATTTGCCTTGCTCACAACTTCAGTGTTTCAAAAGCAAAAAACACCTGACAATGAAGATACAATTCATATGGCAGAACAGGAGACCAAGAACAAAACTTAAATCTGCATAAAAGAAAGAGCTGGACTGATACCAACACAGAAGAAAACCTGAAATACTCCTAAAATAAGCAACAATAGACATTAAATTTAAAAATCTCAATGTTTTAAAAAACTAAAATGTTTGAAAAAAGTATAAAGAGCTGGACTGACATTAATGCTGAAGAAGCTAAGATAAGGAATAACTGATAAAAGGTTACAAAGTGTTGAAAAGAGAGGCTAGACTGAACAAAAATGTGAAAATACATAGTTGAGATTTTAAAAATGATTTGGAGAGTAAACCAAATAAAATATATAGATTTATAGCCAATCTAGAAGACACGAATTCTTATTTTTAACTATTTGCAAAAGATATACGTAAGAATATAAATCGGAATTTAGAAGATATAGTATATGAGGTCCTTGAATAGTCAACCCAATGAGGTCCTTGAATAGTCAACCCAATGAGGTCCTTGAATAGTCAACCCAATGAGGTCCTTGAATAGTCAACCCAATGAGGTCCTTGAATAGTCAACCCAATGAGGTCCAATGAGGTCCTTGAATAGTCAACCCAATGAGGTCCTTGAGTAGTCAACCCAATGACGCATGGAAATCCCTCAATGTATATGTAGGTATGTTTGTCTGTATTTGTTTGTCTTGTAAAAAATTTAAAAAGACACAAGAAGCTGCCTTCCACTGGATCAGACCATTAGTCCATTAAGGTCAGTACTGTCTACTCAGGTTGGCAGCTGCTCTCCAGGCTCTTAGGATGAGATCTTTCCCATCCCTCCTACAACCTGTTCCTTACTGGGGATGCTGGGGGTTGAACTTGGGACCTTCTGCATGCCAAGCAAACGCTCTACCACTGCTAGAACTGGCTCAGACTGTCCGACTCCATTGGTGCTAAGCTGCGGACTAGAGCTTGGAAACCTTTCCCTGACTCACCAACAGCCTTGTCTGGAACTTGGGATTCCACACAGCCCAGCACGATCCCCATGTTTCTATCCTGGCTGAGCAAAAGCAGCTCAGGGCTGGTGATGGAGAGTTGCCAGGTACTGGGTCGTACATTCCTGGAGATTTGGGGGGGGGGGGGGTGAGAGGGAGAGACTTCACTCTCCACTCTCCAAAGTAGCCATGTTCTCCAAGGCAGCTGATTACTGTAGTCTGGAGAACAGTTGTGATTCTGGGGCAACTACAGGCTCCACCGGGAGGATGACAGCCTTATTTCTGATGATAAAACACTCTAAGGTGGAAGAGCTTAATACACCCTCTTCTCTTCCACCCAGTCTCACAGAGAGAGAGGGAGAGGGAGAGAGGGAGAGGGAGAGGGGGAGAGAGAGAGGAGGGGAGAGAGAGAGAGAGAGGGAGAGAGAGGGAGAGGAAAAAAACCGCCTAATGCAATCAAATCGATCTGATCCACACCATCTGTCGCCTGCCACTACACACAAACGTTAAAATAAGGAAAAACGGGAGTCACTGACAGCTCAGGAAAGGCTGGTCTTGCCGAGTTCATTTTGAACAGCGCTTAATTGGGGGTGGCCAGCACATAGTCGCCCGAGCTGCTGTTAAGCCATCAAGCGCTAGATCCCAAACATGCTAATGGTAGATTAATTGAGGAAGATCTGACGTGTAGGCTTCAGAAGGCTCTTATTCATGACTTCCCAATGGGAAAGGACCGATGCTGGGTGGGATGATGGTAAACGTGCAATCAAAAAAAAAAAGGGGTGTGGCCTAATGTGCTAATGAGCTGTGCTGTCGGGGGTGTGGCCCAATATGCTAATGAGTTCCTGCTGTTGGGTGTGGCCTATTATGCTAATGAGTTCCTGTTGGGCTTTTTCTACAAAAAGAGCCCTGGATGGATGGATGGTCGGTCTTTCCATTGCCACCATATTTCTGTTTATTGTTGCTGCAGCAGACTTGGGCAGCACTGGAATGACTGGGGGGGGGATGTTTCTGAAAAGACATCCTGAGAATACAGACCCCTAAAAAGTCCTGTCTTATTCCACAGACGAGTCAAAAAATTTAGAATCGGCCAATACAACTCTGCCAGACTTCAGTTCCTTGAATCAGACTTCCGGAGGAGAGCCCTCGACCACCTCCCTCCCTCAGTCTGCCGGAAAGTCAAACTCATCTCCAACGGTAAATGTTTATGGTAAGGAATGGAATGTTTTGAGAGCGAAACTCTTACGTTTCGGATGTGATTCAAGCAAAATCGAATATTCTCAATCCTGTGTAGCAAAATATGAGCTGTCAATACACGCTTAACTCTTTCACAATGGGGGAAAAAAGATCTGAAAGTATTTAATTTTGACAACTTCATACGTTTAAATAGAACTATTGTTTGGATACCTGGTCACATTAATACAGACAAAGCAAGGCTTCACTGGCTTCTATCAGATAAGAATGCAGAGATTACACATTCAGTTGCTGAGTTCTGGGCATTGATTCTTAGATTGCGGGAATCACATTTTAAAAGCTTTTAAATTTAGATTTTTATTCTGTATCTGTTTTTTTCCTTCCCCCCCCCCCATATTATGTTTATAATGTATGCAGGTCTTAAGACCATAATAATAAGACTAAACGAAACTAAACTCAAAAATGTGGCAAGAACCTATTTGTTTCAGCATGCTCAAGATCAATTATGTACATATCCTAAAACCTACTTTTGTCTTAACAAAAAAAAGGTTCCTGTTTGCATATATTGTATCATTAGAAGCAGTCAGAGCAGTTTCTACAACATAAATGTGAATACTCCTTCAGTCCACTAATGCAGGAGAATGCCAAACCCTTCATGACATTGTTGGGTCTTAAGGAAAATGCAAGCACAGGAGATCTGAGAAGTGGTTAGCCCACTTAGTGTTGGAGTGAGTAGAGATTCAGCATGCCTGGACACTGGATGGCACTACGTCACTCTAAGGGCGTTATAGGTGTTATAGCTCCTTGAATGGGAGGCCTCTCTTTGTCTTAACGTGGGAGCTGCCCTCTGACCCCTCCTCTTTTTCTCCCTTTGTCCTCTCGCTCACTTCGCATGGCCTTCCATGGAGACACATGTCTCTGCAGGTCTCTCCTGTAGAGACTATGCCCTCCGACTAATGCAGGGGAATGCCAAACCCTTCATGATCTGCTGGTATTGACATTGCTGGGTCTTAAGGAAAATGCAAGCACAGGAGATCTGAGAAGTGGTTAGCCCACTTAGTGTTGGAGTGAGTAGAGATTCAGCATGCCTGGACACTGGATGGCACTACGTCACTCTAAGGGCGTTATAGGTGTTATAGCTCCTTGAATGGGAGGCCTCTCTTTGTCTTAACGTGGGAGCTGCCCTCTGACCCCTCCTATTTTTCTCCCTTTGTTCTCTCGCTCACTTCGCATGGCCTTCCATGGAGACAGACGTCTCTGCAGGTCTCTCCTGTAGAGACTATGCCCTCATCCTCCCACACACATCTTATCCTTCAAATATATCGATCCCAGTTGCGCTTTCTTCCACCAGGATAATTGTTCTGGTAATTTCAAATGGTCTTTTTTTAACCAAAATATCCTGGTATCTTAACGATTCTTCTCCCACATACACATTAGGTAAGGTAAATGCCTCTAAAGGTATAATCAGTCTTGATCTTTTAGTATATATATATTTTTTATGTATAGGGTCCCAAACCGTTAATAATGCCGCTCTCAACCAATGTTGCTTAAAATATTTTTGAGGTCCTGCTTTTTCATACCACAAAAAAGCGTTCCATCCTAGCAGTAAATCATGGCCCTCAATTTTTAAAAGTCTCTTATCTTCTAAAGTAATCCATTCTTTAATCCATACTAATGTTGAAATTCTATAATACAATAACCAGTTCGGTACTCCAAACCTTCCTCTTTCTTTTACGTCATGTAGCATTTTCAATCTTATTTGTGCCCTTTTCCCTTGCCATATAAACTTGGATGTCATCTGGTCTAATTCTTTAGACAAGTTTTGATTTTGTAATACAGGAATAGTTTGAAATAAGAACATCCATCTAGGCCATGATTTGTGACAGGGAAAATACTCTTTAGACTAGGCTTCTTTCTCTCCTTTCAACTGCAACCTGGATGTGAACTGGATCTTCTTGAATAAATGTAAGTTTTACCTTTTTGGCAATGTACTTCTCGGGAGATTTATTTACTGCACTCAGGATCACGCTTCTAGGGCTGGACAAAACTCTGCTTTATGAACCAAGCATCTCAATAAGGGATCCCCAACATGGTTCCTGTGGGATCCATTGTGTCCATCAACACATTTCCGGGCGCCCACCAAGTGTTTTTCAAAAGTGAGCAGGGCCATTTGGCTCTTTTGCTCAGAACAGTGGTGGAAGAAAAATAAGATAATAGGCACTGGGCCTATGGCATGACATTTTCAGGGAAAGCCAGGACTGACATCATGCCTCTCCAGGAATCAAGAGTTTTTGGTGATTCCTAGAGAGAACTGCCGTCACTGCTGGTGTTCTTCAGAAGTGACTTCAGGCTTCTCTAGGAATCACCAAAGATTCTGTGGTTCTACCATAGAGTTTCTGGCAATTCCATGCAACGGTCACCTCCAGACTAGACTACTGTAACTCACAGTACACAGAGCTGCCCTTGATGCTACCCCGGAAACTGCAAATGGTCCAGAATGCGGCTGTATGTGTGCTTACAAGCACCCTACCTAGAGCCCACATACAACCAGTGCTCTGCCAGCTGCACTGGATCCAAGTTGATTACCAGATCAGATTCAAGGTTTTGGTTCTAACCTTCAAAGCCTTACATGAGTTGGGACCAACATATCTTTGGGACTGTGTCTCCTAGTACGCCCCCCCCAGGGTTGCCAACCCCCCCCCCCCCGGTTTTCCAGGGGACCCCCGTTTTCAGGCCCTGCAGAACCTGATGCAGTTCCACAGGGCCTGTAAAACAGGAATGTTCCTCCAAGCATACGGTTGAGGCAGTGAAGTTTCCAACTAATGTGGCCTCTCCCAGCCCCCCCCCCACTGCCATTAATTATACTGTATTCCAGCTTTTCACAAACACACAGCTTGCACAACCTCACAATGATAAATTGTATTAGTGACTGTGGCGTCCTCTTATTAGGGAGGACTGGTTTTCCCTTTAAATGTGCTCTTTGCTTTTGTAAATGGGGTAGATTCTGCTGCCACCAGGAATTTAAGAATTTCCAAACCTTCTCTCTGTTTCTTTTGCTGGTAAGGTGACCCAGAGTCGGGGCTTTTCAGGGATCTATGTGGTCCTGAGGAAAGATGAGAACTGTCATCTAAAGTGGTTGCCAGCTTGCAGTTTAGAGATCTATCCTGGTAACCGCTTTCTATTGGCTAAATGGCTTTTCTTTCTGCACCAGCAGAAAAACATTTGCCCCACAAGCCACTAAATCCTGGCTACAAGCCTGATGGTGAGGCCAATTAGACCCCAAGACTATTACGGTAGCCACTGAAGGACTCCAGACTCTGAGCCATTCTTAGCTCTGTGAGTTGGCAGCTCTTCCATTGATGTCCAGCCAATGGGAAATGTTTGTTTGTTTTGGTGTCAAGCTCGATGCAATGTGCAAGTCGTTGTTTTTTTTTAACTATGATTATTTATATATTTTTTACCATTAAGTAGAAAAATTCCTGGAGACTTAGGGGCAGTGTAGTATATTGCGAAGGCTTACATGAATTGCCGCATTGACTCCCCATGTTAAGCTCGAGCCCGAGTAAGGCTCCTCCGGACCGACATGCTATTGGTCGCTTCACAGCAGCGACCAATCAGGACTGCACCAGTTCCCTGCGAGGGAAATCTATTGGCTAAATGCACCACCAGAAAAACATTTGCCCCACAAGCCACCAAATCCTGGCTACAAGCCTGATGGTGAGGCCAATTAGACCCCAAGACTATTACGGTAGCCACTGAAGGACTCCAGACTCTGAGCCATTCTTAGCTCTGTGAGTTGGCAGCTCTTCCATTGATGTCCAGCCAATGGGAAATGCTTAGTAAAGGTTTGTTTGTTTTGGTGTCAAGCTCGATGCAATGTGCAAGTTGTTGGGGTTTTTTTTAAAAAAACTATGATTTATTTATTTATTTATTACCCTTAAGTAGAAAAATTCCTGGAGACTTAGGGGCAGTGTAGTATATTGCGAAGGCTTACATGAATCGCCGCATTGACTCCCCATGTTAAGCTCGAGCCCGAGTAAGGCTCCTCCGAACCGACATGCTATTGGTCGCTTCACAGCAGCGACCAATCAGGACTGCACCAGTTCCCTGCGAGGGAAAGACTCTCATTGGACGTTATCCGCACAACCTCATTGGTTGTTTATTGTACAGAGGCGTGGCTACGATAGCCCGGGAATGTTTAAAAGGAGCCTAGCTCCCAATGTTAATCTGTTCTGGTTATGACTTCTTTCAAGCGCTTGTTCGTACCTTCAATAAAGCTGTTCACTTTTGCTGAAATCACTCTCCGGATCTTTGTTAGCGGCGATCTAACAGGCAGAACCTGGGGAGGGTGGGGTTTGAGGATGACCTCACCAGGGTATAAACCCTCAAAAGCAACCCTTTTCCCCTAAAGATGTTCCAGGAGATCTCCAGGCCCCACCTGGAGGTTGACAACCCAAGTTGCAGGTGATGTAATTCTTATCCAAATTCTTTGTCCCTTCTTGAGCCTCTCTAAACCTTCCTCCTCTCAAACTTCCACAGGTGCACTGGTGACTTCCGCAAAAAGACTTCAAATCACAAACACGGAAGAGTTTCTCGTGACCCCGACCACGACGGAAGAGAAATCGGCACTCTCGGTGGCAGCAACTGGTAAGCAGCTGGGACAGCAGGAGGAGGTATCCTAATCTGGGGAAAGAGCCAGTGGCTGTCTGGTTATACGGAAAGTGCACAGATGGTCAGGATTTCCCGTAGTGTTGTAACGATGCTGCTGCAAGCAAAACTATAAGCTGGCAAGGCGGTGGTGGAGCTAATCAGTTCCAGAGTTTTTAAGTTAGATGTGATACATAAAGTAAAAGGTAAAGGTTTCCCTTGCTCAAACGCTAGTCGAATCCAGCTCTAGGGTTGCAGTGCTCATCTCCGTTTCAAAGCCGAAGAGCCAGCGCTGTCTGAAGACGTTTCCGTGGTCATGTGGCCGGCATGACTAAACGCCGAGGTGCACGGAACGCTGTTACCTTCCCACCCAAGCAGTACCTATTTATCTACTTGCAATTTCTTGCTTTTGAACTAGGCTTGCCAAGTCCCCCTGGGGGGCGGGGAAACCCACGCCCCAGAGGCCCGTTCCCCGCCAACGGTGGATCGGGCCCCGAGGGGAACCCCACCCCCAAAGCACGGGACGTGCCCAGCGTCAGATCGTCATGCCGGGCGCGCCAGGGGTGGGGCCGCGGTCATCCGAGGGAAAACTCTATGCAAGTGGAGGAGTGGGGAATCAAACCCGGTTCTCCCAGATTAGAATCCGCACACTTAATCACTACACCCTACTGGCTCTCTAACTCTTCAATATTTTAGGTAGAAGCCCCGTTTGACAGGATGCCTTTTAAAACAGACAAGTTGTTTAAAAATATTTTCTCGCATACATGCAAGTTATCTAAGCACAGTGAAGACCTCTGTGCTGTGGCGGCAGCGGCTACCAAAGCAACATTTAAAAAATCTGCACAGCCAATCAGGACTCCAATGGCCAATCAGAAACCTTGCTGGCCCCTGCTCCCTTTTTAAAAACTGGTATGTATTCAGTTATCATTGTTTGGTATGAGCTTTAGGTACAGCTCCATAGAAGTGCAGCATCCCAGAATACGAGAACGGATTGGTCAATGCCGCTGGTAGGCCAATCCGGAGAGACATTGACTTTCGGCGGGAACAATTCTTATTGGTCCTAAGCGCCTTTCTCTGGTTGGTTTGTTATCTGTTTAGGGGTGTGGTTCTCCCCGTTCAAAATATATGAAGTTAGCTTGCTCTGTGTGTAAGTTGTCCTGTGTTAAGTTATGAGTGGAATGAAAGAAATCACTTGTTTAAGAGCTGCCTCGACCTCAGTTCATAATAAAAACATTTAGCAGGCACCGAGAAGGAAGTCCATCAGCCCAGGGGCACCATGTTGGGGGACCCTGATCTAGATGACCCCTGACTGGTAGGACCTGCTTTTAAACGTACTGTTTGAGTTCAGGTGGGGTAGCCATGTTGGTCCGAAGTAACAGAACCAGGGCTTTTTTTGTAGAAAAAGCCCAGCAGGAACTCATTAGCATATTAGGCCACACCCAACCGCAGAAACTCATTAGCATATTAGGCCACACCCATGACAATACAGCTCATTAGCATATTAGGTCACACACCCCATGTTACCAGAAGTGTGCTCATCCAGCCACACCCACCTTTTGCTTGTTATTCTGTTTACCTTGTTTGTTGTCAAAACCCAGGGCCTTTTTTTGTAGCAGGAACTCCTTTGCATGTTAGGCCACCAACCCATAATGTAGCCAATCCTAATGTGTTTCTGCTGTTGGGTGTGGCCTGTTATGCTAATGAGTTCCTTCTGGGCGTGGCCAACTCGGGAGCCAGCCGGAACTCCGTTCCTGTGCGTTCCTGCCCAAAAATAGCCCTGAACAGAACAAAGCCTGAGTCCAGGCGCACCTCTAAGACCAACGAAGTTTTATTCAGGGTAAAAGGTTTCATGTGCATGCACACTGCTTCAGATATCTGAAGAAGTGAGAAAAAGTAGTATCTGAGGAAGTGTGCAATTGCATGCACATGAAAGCTTTTACCCAAAATAAGACTTCGTTGGTCTTAGAGGAGCCGCTGGACTCAAACTTTGTTCTACTGTTTGCATTGCTGATTTATATGACTTCCCTGTTTATGCGATCCTTTGCCTGCTGAGCAGAGCAGTAGCCCGGTAAAGGGAGGGGAATACAACTCAATTAGCCTGTGTGAGAAAGGATATGAGCGAAAAGCGGATTGTGCTGCACTCTTAGGAAGGAAAATATTGACACCAGCCAAGGGGCTCAGCGGTCAAGGGGTCAATTCAATCCCACTTTGCTATGCGGTGATCTGCAAATGGGCTGGATGCCTCATCAGGTACAAAATAGCTTTTCATAAGCCTGCTGACTCATATTGCCGGGAAATCCTTGCATCGGAACAATACAGAAGCCAATAAGGTAACAAAGTCTCATGTGGTCGCAATAAGCCATGGAAAGCAGAAACCGGAACCAAATACTTTAATAAACAAACCCCATTAAAACATTTTTAACATAAGATGTTCTCACCTTTGTGTCCTGGTCCTAAATAATAGCATTCCTACAGTTGCATCCAAATTATAATGGCATTCTGTGTTTAGCAATGCCGTTCCATGGAATACATCAGATTTCAGTTCCTAAAAATTATTCTAAAACATGAGGGATCCTGGATTTTAATACCATCCATTCCTGCAAGATGCCCATAATTACTTTAAGATCTCACTGCCAGACCAGTTACTTCTTCAGTACTTTCCTGCTTTATCGGTGTATTCTGCCTTTCCTCCCAGGAACTTGGAGGTAGCACATGTCAGGGGTGGGGAAAGGGCCGAGTAGGCTCCACCGGTAGCTGTCACACCGCCCTGACTCAGGAGCTGCAGGCAATCCTTATTGTGCTCCCTGGCTTAAGTACAGCTCTCAGTAGGGACAAGCCCATCCTTCTCTTCCCATCCTGTATTCCAGGAAGTTCGTACCCTACCTGTTGTTGTTGTTGTTCAGTCGCACAGTCGAGTCCGACTCTTCGCGACCCCATGGACAAGATCCCGCCAGGCCTTCCTGTCTTCTGCCGTCCTCTGAAGTTTGCTCAATTTCATGTTCGTTGCATCTATGACACTGTCTAACCATCTCATCCTTTGCCGTCCCCGTCTTCTTTGACCTTCAGTCTTTCCCAGCATCAGGGTCTTCTCCAGTGAGCGCTCCCTTCTCATTGGGTGGCCAAAGTAGTTGAGCTTCAGTTTCATTATCTGGCCTTCCAGGGAACAGTCAGGGTTGATTTCTTTTAGGATTGACTGATTTGATCTCCTTGCAGTCCAAGGGACTCTCCAGAGTCTTCTCCAGCACCATAGTTCAAAAGAATCTATTCTTCGGCACTCGGCCTTCCTTATAGTCCAACTCTCGCAGCCATACATGACTACTGGGAATACCATTGCTTTGACCATGCGGACTTTTGTTGGCAGGGTGATGTCTCTACTTTTTATCATGCTGTTTAGGTTCGCCATCGCTTTCCTCCCAAGGAGCAGGCGTCTTTTAATTTCACGGCTGCTGTCACTGTCTGCGGTGATCTGGGATCCCAGGAACGTGAAGTCTGTCACTACTTCCACGACTTCCCCTTCTA